TTTATTTGTGTTGATGTTTTTCCAAATTGGCCCATTTAAAGATGGAGGGTCCTAAACCCCCAAAACTCCCCAGCCAAGCGGGGGGGTTGGGGGATTTCGGGGAGTTGAAGTCCACTCATCTTAAAGTGGCCAAGTTTGGACAACACTGACCTAGAATTAGAACAGTTACCGGGTCACAAGGTGAACCCCAGGCTACAGTCCCCCCACTAAAACCCAACTGCCCAAGGTGAAGGAAAACGGGGTAAACATATGCAAGTGTGAGTTACAAGTTTGCAAAAGGATGCTCCATAAACCTCACTGAACTCAGTGGGGAAGCTGGCCTAGATCCTCCTGATCCAGGAGAGCCCAACGTTCGGTTCAGAAAGCAAGCCTGGAGAATTCAGGGCAGACTTCCCTCCTCCTGGAACAGACAGCATTGAATCTTTCCCCTTGGCTGGCTCCTCCTCATGTCAGTAGGAAACAGCGAGGAGGAGTGGGAGAGATCAAATCCTAAGCCAGCCTCAGAAAAGAACCCCACACTTGGCCCAAGTTCAGCAGATGAACTTTCCTCAATGGCGTATTTGGTGCACACGTTATAGTTTTCATGCCCTGCGGGCGAAGAATCCAGTCCCTGAAAATTCCACTCCGGGAAAACGGCAGTAAGACAGAGGAGATCTGCCTTGGCAATCTTCCCCCCCCCCCTTTCTTTTAGAAAGCCAATCTGGGCAAGCAGAGATAAGTCCCACCATTGCTGTCCGTTTTTATCCTGTCTCCCGCCTGCTCCGGCAGCTGATGTATCTCAATGACTTTTATCTCTGCCTTAAATAAGTCCACTTCAAAACTTCATGCCTTAATCCTGGAGTGTTCATGGCCTGGCCTGAGATGGACTGTTTCAGAAATCACTTGTTATCTTTCTGCTAATTTGGGCTCCTGAACAGCAGAGACTACTGTTTGGAGGAGGAGGAGGAGGAGGATTCCTAAGGTGAAATTTAGGGTTACAGGTTACAAAAATTCTGAGAAAAAAGAGGATACAACAGAAGGAGCTTGTATTTTCCGTTAAAAACAGCAATAGAAAATCTGCTTGTAAAAATATGTATTAAGATAACAAAGATGTCAACTGGATGAAGTTCTTTGGGCTAAAAGTGTGCCCAATTCATTTTTTAAGGCATGGGCTTTATTCTGGATGTTTAACCCACCAGAAGCAATGTTTTTTAACCACTATAACCCATCAACCGGCATGCTTTAGGCCACTGCTCAGGCTGGCTGGGAGTTAGGGGCGCTGAAGTCCCATTCTCGGAAGCTGCCAGATTGGGCAATGCAGGAACACAGACTGTAAAAATTGGGTAACTAGGACTCTCTTATCTGAGCTGCAAAACGCTGCCTGACCACTAGAGGCCAGCATAGGAGATTCGTGGTCTTTCCTGCCATCTAGTGGCCATATTCAGTTTTACACTCCAGATAGGATAGTCCAGTCCAATTCTCATTTCAAACCACAAACTCTGGCAAGTAGTGCAGCCTGAATTTAACCTCATAACCAGACACACAAGGACTGCCTTCACACATTGTGCTAAGCCACAGCGGGTTGCCTATTAATGGCACAAAATCAGGCTTTGTGGTGTGTATACCTTAGATCAGTGTTTCTCGACCTTGGCCACTTTAAGATGGGTGGACTTCAACTCCCAGAATTCCCCAGCCAGCCATGCTG